TTTTTTTTTTTTAAATTTTCGTCTTTGTACGTTAGACCGCCGGGTAAGAATCAATTTTCAAGACACTACCAGACTGCTTTAAAAACAGTAAACACAAAGTGGTAGAGACTAAATCTAAAAACAACAAGAAATCAAGAAAGAAAGTGCAAAACAACTTTTTAAGACTTTGATCAAATTCCTTTTGATGAAAGCCGTCTGGCTTATTGCCATAGCGGCTGTATATCGATGTTGTTGCGTAGCCTTTTCGCAATATCACTACTGCTTGATGGCTCTGTAAACAAAGTTCTTTGAAGCAGTTACATTAACAGGGGCATGAAATTGCTTGATTCAGTATATACAGACTATGCAATTCTTGAATCAACTGTCAATAACCTGAAGGCCCAGACTACTATTCACGGTAAATTCAGGCAACATAAATAATGTAGAAGTGAAAAACAAGTTGCTAAACAATGGATTCTCGGTACAAGTTTCATTTGCCAACGACTCCAACACTGTTTTACCAAAATCATCAATACCGATCACTGCCAGCTGTATGCTACCATTACCACGTATATGCTCACCCAATATACCTGCAAAAATAAACGATTAATATTAGGTATTTGTCATTGATAATCAAATCCTTTAAAGGTTCCCCCATTCCTTCAGTATACACCAAAAAGCGGATAAAGACCGAGGTGAAAATGAGATGCTACTGAGCGGAAAAGTTTCACAACCTTTGAAAACAACTGATCACTGCCAATAATAGATGCTCTGCTTTTTTTTTGCGTGTGTGTAGTACCTTAAATATTAACAAAGTTTATCAACTTAATCTTGTTAAAAGCAAATTATCCCCCACTCCCAAAATGTTACAGTTACAAAGTACTTAACTAGTATACCATTCAACTTTATGTCAAACTCCTCGCAGTTCCCCAGTACTTCTTGTTTTTCCATTTCCTGACCTCCCCAGATTCTTCCGACGTTGTGCACCTGCATTCCACCGTTAATCCCCCAGAACCGTAATTCACGGTTGTTTTGCGGCTGAAACCTGCGCTTTACACCCAGCTGTATCTCTTCCCCAATAGTCCTAGTACACGGCACTGTTCGGTTTTATGTTTTTAGAAATTAATAGAATCAGTTTTCAGCTGAAAATCAACCAAAAAAAAATCCATTCTTTCCTTGAAAAATGCCACCTACAATCTGAATTTTCGGAAACACTCTGGCACCATTATATTGTCTTTCTGCTAAAGCTTTCGCCCACTTCAACGGTCATCCTAGTCTTTCCCATTTCTTCTGTAAGGTTCTCTATAACCGTTACCAAAAGAAAATTTTGTAATGCTAATATTCCGACAGCTTCCACACAAAAATTCTCAGAAGTATATTGCAATTCATTACCGTGTTCCAAGACAGCCACAGCTCTCATCTACCGTCTTCAGCAGTCGAAAATTGCGCTCGAATGCTTATGAATCGAAGCATTTTAAACAGGTAATAATAACTTCCCTCCAACCATGACCCATCTGTTACCTTTATACCAATTCTATAAATTTAAAGCCGCATATCAGTATCCCTTCTTAAGAATTAAGCTTCCTGTCATCTCTTGCCTCCGAATTTATTACTTAAGACCAGGCTCTTATTATAGCGACTCTTTCAATAGATGAAAGTTTACAGTACTTCATCCTCCCTTTTAGGCTTGACTTTTGTTTTCTTTCTTGAATAACCAAGAACTTGACGGATTATGAGACTTGTTCAAAAACTGCAACTGGAATCCAACTCCAGCGTCTCTGAGCTTCTACATTTGTTCACACGTAAGATTACTACAAAAAAGTACTAAAATTTCTAACCTGGTTTACAGTATTTCTTGGTTAATGTTATGTTGAGGTATTGCGGACCATCCTCTGTTACGTATACAGTTATCAACTTTGTTTCAAATTTTGGATGTGATATTGTTATCTAAAATTTTCTCGGGTCATATGGTGGATGTTTTTCCATTATTTCAGTTCAATCGTCTTTAAAATTAAGTGATGTTGAAACAGTGAACATATTTTAATTTTTTTACGTTATATTTTCCAGGAACCAACACTCGCCAATATTCACCATCTGTGGTACTGGTTATATTTTTTCCCTTTGGTACTGAAACTACTGCATCCTTAACCGGATCACCATTTTCGTCAACAATGAACCCCCTTATACCTGCAAAACTCAAAGCTTGTTTTTACGGATTTTTGCATGAAATAGAAAGTTGGTTGGTCAAGCATCAATGTTGAATAGTTACCCCTCTCCACGAAAGTCATGTATGCAAGTAAGGCGAATTTGTGCTCATCCCATAATTTGGGCAGTATACTGTCATCTGGAAATTTGATACAACCCATCTCGATAGTTATCTCCAAACAATTTGTATGAAAGTATTGCCAATCTTGCATTCCACCAGCGAGATGATACCAACCATTACCATTAGTAATGCCATTGTAAAAATCATCGCCATTGATCCCTAAGCCACACCTGAATGTTTGCCGTGAATGCAAAGTCTCTCATATGATAGATAAGGAAGTTCAACCAGCGTCTAGTAATTATGATGAGTACGTTAATTAAATTTCAGTTTCTTATCATACCTACGTCCAGTTTTCCACATATTTTCATGTGCCCTTGCGTAAGTGTAAGCTAAAGCCACGAAAAGTTTATCATCGGGAGATTCCGCATAAACACCATCTTTGCCGGTCGCGGAATCATCATATGGGTAGTTGGCAACCAGAGAACCTTTCAAGGTAATAATTTTTAGCTCGAAAACAAAAATAGCAGCGGTGCAAACTGTTTTAATGGGGACTTTGAATATAAGATGAATTAGATTACAAATTTCATACTTTAGATAGTTCTAAATGTTGCTTACTTCAAACTAGCCCGAAAATTCAGTTATGTTCCATTGATCACATAAAGCGAACCGGTCGAAAGTTAAAGTAAGCCTAAGGCATACCTCCATGAAAATTTGCCGACAGAACAAACGGATGTTCCTGTAGCCATTGCATGACCACCTTAGTTTCTTGCTGAAGACCCATGCCTCCATCTTCTTTATGTGCTTCAAATTTGGCAGGAAAATTTCTGTTTAAATCAACGTTATGCGCATTACCACGTATCTAAACAAACATGGATTTATTTTAAATAACACAATTTTTTGACTTTTATGGAAGGAAATTTTTGTTGAAAACGTACTGCATATTCGTAGCCGTCTGGATTCATTGAAGGCATAATGTGAATCCGAGTTTTATCTACCATATGTGTTATAAATTTGTTCTTCCCATAGTTTTCACATAAAACAGCTATAAGATACAGTAAACATTCTCGGCCCACTACCTAAAATTGTGTTTCACCAAAAGTTTTATATTATATTTGTTGTTTCTATAGAGTATTAGGGTTAAAGTAAATTTGCTTGGTGGTTGCTGAAAGAGTCTTCAAAAATTCTGGTAGTCCAATGAATTTGAAGTTGCTATGGCAATAAAATCTCGGAAAAAAGGCTACAGAAAAAATGCTTATCTAAGACACCAGTTTAAGATTGAGAAATTATCCACGAAATGCTTTACCT